TCGGAGCCCCCCCCCAAAGAACACCCCCGCGATGCCCAACTTTCAAACCAGTCAAGGAAGACTCAGCATGGGGGGCACGGGTCCTGAGGGAAACTAGTCCTGGACGGTGGGGCCTTCCCCCAAGACGAGATCTCCATCCTGAGTCGTTTCCTGACAGTCCCGGGGCCCGTGGAAGGCCCCAAACAATGAAGCACCTCAAGACCCGTTTCCCTCACGACCCGTTCCCCCCATGGCGAACCCTCGCGCCCAATCTCGCGCCCCCCCCCTCTCCGGTGCGCGCCGCCAAATCCCCGAGGATGCTCAGGCACAGAGATCACCCTAAACAGCGTTTCTCGTTTTCGTTTCGGTTCTCGTTTCCCTCGTTTGGGATTCAGTCCGCCTTGGCTGCAGATCGAAATGGAAACAAAAACTGCCCACGAGACAGAAAAAAAAACACCGTGTGGGTCGACCCCTGCCCCAAAGGGGGTCACCACTGCTTGGGGGGGCCGCCAACTCCCGAAGGACACGGGCCCCCCTGGAACCCCTGGGAACCCCCGCAGGGCCCAGACAAACGCCCCAAAACGTCCCTCCTCCTCGAACCTCCTCCTCCCCCTCCTCCTCCTCCTCCTGCTCCTCCCCCTCCTCCTCCTCCTCCCCCTCACCCTCCTCCTCCCTCCTCCTCCTCTCTCCTGTCCTCCTCTTCCGTCCTCCTCCTACTCCTCCTCCTCCCGTCATCCTCCTTCCTCCTCCTCTCCGCCTGACCTCACGCCCCTCCTTCCTCCTCCTGCTCCTCCTCCGTCCTCCTGCTCCTCCTCCGTCCTCCTCCTCCTCCTCCTCCTCGTCCTCCTCGTCCTCCTCCTCGTTCCCTCTCCCCCTCCCCCTCGATCCGGCACTGCTTCTTCTGCTCAAACAAAAAAACGGTCGGCGGCGGCGAGCCCAGGGGGGAAGTGAGAAGGGGCGGGCCCTCTCAGAATGCTCGGACGTCCCCCGGCCTCCAGAGAACTGTTCGGAACCCTCCCCGAAGACAAAAAGACAACCTCCCAGCAGGCCGGACGGGCTCCCGAGAAGCCCCGCCGCCTTCTGAGGAGGCCTCCTCTCTCCTTCTCACTCCCCGCGCTCGCTCGCTGCCGAGGTCGCTGCCGGGTGGGGGGTAGGGCCCTGACCCATCCCCAGGAACCAGCCGCCCAAAAGCAGCCAAGATCTGGTCCGTGGGGCAGGTGGGGAAACCATAGGGTACCGATACCGCTACTCCCCCGACCTCTCTCAGGGTGCCTTCTGACCATAATCTCGAGGCGAATCCAGCGGTGGCGACGAGGGCCTCCCAGGAGGCCCACAAGGGGGAAAACGAGGCAAGTGCCTGGTGGGGGGTGCTCTGTGGCGCGGCGCGGCGGGGGCGCGCGCGGAGGGCGAGAGGCTCGGGGGGGAGGAGGAGGAGGAGGAGGAGGAGGAGGAGGAGGAGGAGGAGGAGGAGGAGGAGGAGGAGGAGGAGGAGGAGGAGGAGGAGGAGGAGGAGGAGGAAGGAGGAGGAGAAGAGGAGGAGGAGGGAGGAGGAGGAGGAGGATGAGGAGGAGGAGGAAGAGGAGGAGGAGGAGAGGAGAAGGAGGAGGGAAGGAGGAGGAGGAGGAGGAGGAGGATGGATGGAGGAGGAGGAGGAGGAGGAGAAGGAGGAGGAGGAGGAGGAGGAGGAGGAGGAGAAGGAGGCCAGGGCACGAGGCTGCCGAGGTCATTGCCTTGGGGGGGGTGGGGCCCCTGGGCAAGGGCAGCGCTTGGGACGTCGAGCGGGGGGGCTGCGTTGCCATCGCCACATGTTGCGCGCGAGCGCCAGCGCGTGTGTGGGAGGGCAGGGTCCGCCCTCCCGCCCCACGAAGGATCGCCACCGGTGTGCAGGAAGGGCGGGGAGCGGGGCCTTTGTGGGCCACGGAAACGGCAGGGCCGTTTTTTCACCGTTTCCACAAGAGTGTCCCTTGAAAGTGGAAACGGCAGAAAAACTGCCACAAGGAACGGCAAAAAAACGGCTCCAGGATTGGAGCCGGAGCCAGAACCGGTCAAAAAACGGAGACGGAACCGGTAAAAAAACGGCGTCGGGACCGGCAGAAAAACGGCAAAACGAAACCGGTAAAAAAAACGGCCCTGTCGTTTCCAGGGCCCACTAAGGGCGCGGCGGGTACCGACCTCCCCTCCTTCTCTGAGCGACCTGCTGCTTCGGGGGCACCTCGGGGATCGGGGGCGAACGCTCGCTGGCGATTTGATGCCCAGCCTAGAGGTGAGCCCTGTCCCCAAGATTGGCAAGCCAAAGGCGATGGCAATCTTGGGGGTGTGCCTCCAGAATGTGGGGGAACCCTTAAGATCGACACCGAGGCAAAGTGATGCCAAATATAGGGATAAGGTTATGTTTCGAGCTGGTAGTGTAGGCGTTTTTTTAGTCTGGGTTTAGACATTTAGCCGAAAGGTGGAGGAGATGGGGGGTCTCGGTCTTGGCCGGTGCTTAGTCGACCTGCATCTACCAGTCGCGCGAGCAGCCTGGGGGAACGGATCCTGACCCATCCCTAGAAACCAGCCGCCAAAAGCAGCCAAGATCTGGTCCTGGGGGGAGGTGGGGAAACCACAAGGTACCGATACCGCTACTCCCCCGACCTCTCTCAGGGTGCCTTCTGACCAGAATCTCGAGGCGAATCCAGCGGTGGCGACGAGGGCCTCCCAGGAGGCCCACAAGGGGAAAAACAAGGCAAGGGTAGCGGTATGGGTACCGTTCCCCCTCCGTGGAGGAGAGGGGGGGAGGGGATCCGACACAAATTACTCCGACGGTGGGACCCCGCACGAGAATCTGTCTAATATGCCTGGGTATCTCCTCCTGCCCCCTCACTGCTCCACCCTACTCCTGCCTCCTCCTTCTCCTCCTGCCTGCTCCTCCTCCTGCCGCAACCCCTACCTCCTCCTCCTCTTCCTCCTCCTCCTCCTCCTCCTCCTCCTCCTCCTCCCTCCTCCTCCTCTTGAATCCTCTACCACCTCCTTCTCCTTTTCCTCCTTCTCGTTTTCCATCTCCCTCTCCCTCCTTTTCCTCCTCCTCCTCCTTCTCCTCCACTCCCTCTCACTCCTCCTCTTTCTCCTCTCCCTCTCCCTCCTCATCCTCCTCCTCCGCCTCCGCCCTCCTCCTCCTCCTCGTCTCCATCTTCCTCCTCCTCCTCCCCCTCCTCCTCCTCATCCTCCTCCTCCTCCTGCCTCCTCCTTAGGCCTCCTGCCTTATCCTGGTGCTTCCTGGGGCCTCTTGCGGCCTCCTAGAGCCTTCTGGGCCTCCCGGGACCTCCTGGGGCCTCCTAAGGTATTCCTCCTCCTCCTCCTCCTCCTCATCATCGTCCTGTTCCCCCTCTGCCTCCTCCTCCTCCTCCAGCTTCTCTTTGTCGTCCTGCTGCATCCTCCTCCTCCTCCTCCTCCTCCTCCTCCTTTTCCTCGTGAGGAATACGACCTCGAGGAAATGCACGACGTGCGTCCAGCGGCTACGCACCTGAGGACGACCCAAAGGAAGCCCGCGCGGAGGACGACCCGGAGAAAGCACGTGAGGTGCGGGCCCCACAGGGAGGGGGCTCCCGCCTGAGACTTCCTCGCAATCCACTCACA